CCGACCGGAGCGCCAAAGGAGGAAGGCGGTCTTCAACCGGCCAGGTTGTGCCTGACGGGCGGGAGGGGGCTGTGGCCGGGGCCCTGCTGCGGCCCAAGAGGGATCCCGGGCTCCCCCAGTCCCCCTTGCCGGCCCCCGTGGATCGCAGCACAGAGCCCAGCCCTCCCCGGGACGACGCCATCATCCTGCGGCTGAAGTTCCTGAACGACACGGAGCGCCTGGCTCGGGTCCGCCCCGAGGACACAGTTGGCACCTTGAAGAGGTGAGGCGGCCAAGAGGGGACCCCCCCGCTCTGCCCTGGGCTACAGGGGACCAGCCTCTTAGGTCACCTCCCTGGAGTCTAGCCTCTTTTTCCCCCCCCCCATCCCGTGGATCGGAGTGACCCTCCTCTCCTCCCTCCCCTCCGTTTTTTGAGGCTTTCATGCTGCCTTTCAGGTGCATTATTAAGGCAGTTGGTGGGAGAAATGGCTGCTGCCCTGTGGCAGAGAGTTCCCCATGCCAGCCCGAGGCACAGGTGCTGCTTGGCTTCTGGTTGGAATTGTTCCCTCTGGCTCAGCATGTTAGCAAGAAGCAGCCGGTTCGGTTTCACAGGCCCTCCTTGGGGTGCCGGCAAGAGTGTGGACTGCATGCAAGGCATCTTCTGATGTGCGGCTGAGCATTCCAGAGCCTGAGGCCGGCTCCTGAATGCCGCAGTGACCGGACACAATCCTGCCTTGCGAGGCGCTGCCTAGTGGCAGGCACCTGCCGTAATTCCTCCCTAGCAGCTTCCTCTGGACCCTTGGGTGCGTCTGTCTCGTGGCCGCCTGGTGGGCCTGGCAACTGAAAGGGCCATTGTTTGCATGACCAGGGGTGTGTGGGAGTTGGGTGTTGAGGCTCTGCTTCTGGCTGCAGCTCTCCAGAGGCAGGCCGTGGGGCAAGTGGTCACTCTGCTCTTCCCTCTGTCTCTCTTCCTCTGTGCCAGGGCCCACTTCCCAGGCCAGGAGCAGCTGGTGCGTCTCATCTACCAGGGACAGCTCCTTCGGGACGACTCGCAGACGCTGGCGGCCTTGCATCTCACGCACAACAGTGTGGTGCACTGCCACATTTCACAGCACAGGCCGGGCGTGGTGCCTGCCGGGGTGCCTCCTGGTGCTGCCCATGTGGATGCCACCCATGCTGCACTCAACATGGGCAGCCTGATGGTGCCCCTCTTTGTCCTGATGTTGGGCACCCTCTGGTACTTCCAGCTCCAGTACCGCCACGTGTTCACTGCCACTGCCACCACGTGCCTAGCGGGCCTCACCCTCGTCTTCAGCTTTGTGGCCTTTGCTATGTACCGCAGATAGTGCCTGGTTCTGCCTCCGTGGGCTAAGGGCCACTGGCAGCTGCCGTCTGGAATGGTGGTCTGGGCGTTTCCGGGCCAGGACTTGGTGCCGGTCTGCAACAGAAGGACAGCCCCTGCAGAGAGCTTCCCCTTGCTGCAAGCCGCCTGCAGCAATAACGACAACAACAGATACACACATACACCACAGACCTTTGCTGGGATTTTGGCCAGCTCTGAGTGTGGCCCTCATCTGTCTTAAGTGGTGATCCTGTCATCTTAGGGCCGCTGTTCCCTCAGCGCCTCCAGGGGGCGCTTGTGCCAGTCCTCCATACACCCTGCCGCCCTGCCACCCCTGGCCTTGCGAAGACAGCTTGCTTCTTCCACGTATGTTCTCCTTGCCCTCGGAGAGCAGCTGGCGGGGCAGTGGCAAAAGATGCTCTTGCACACAAATGGCCACTGGGGCTCCTTCTGTCCATCAGCCTTGGCTACCTAAAGGGAGTAAGCCGGGGTTGACGGAATCTGGGTGTAACGGGGGGGGGTGTCTATGCCCCTGGGTATGATGTAGCAATGGTTACCCCCCCTTCATATTCCCTGAGAGGGAGAGGCCATGCCTGATTAATGCTTATTTGAACATTAAAAGAAAGCTGTGAAGGCCTTCTCTGTGTCAGGATGGCTGAGAGGTCAGAAAAGCCCTCACAGCTTGCCTGTGAGAAGACTGCGGAAGGAGGGCGCCTTCCTCTCTGGTGCTCCCCTCGGGGCTGCTGGGGCGAGATGACTGGCTGGGCACCCGAGGCTCTGCCCCTGAAGGCAGGCGGGCACCTCCCATCCATTGTCATGGGTGGTGGAAGCCCTTCCCAGAACGTGCCCCCACCCCCTTGGCCTCTATGCCTCTTCTCCTTGTCCTGGGAGAATTTCAGAAATCAGTCTTTATTGTGGGAAACCTGCTTTTGAGTGCCCTTAGTCTGCTGCTGATTTCCTTTCATGGGTTCTGGAATAATTTCTC